TGAAAATCGGATAAAGCCTTTTCGCTGATTAATGTTATTAAAAGCCTCTTACTTACACTCAATCGCTCAGGAAAGAGGCAAATGTATGTAATTATTTAAGCCAACTGTAATTATTGTTCGAAAGGCGAAAGTATGTGATGCATAGCGTTTGTGATGTCATTATTATGCTACATACACTTATAGTGTTCTTGACTTCCATTTCGCTATTGTTGTTGTTACTATCAGCAAATATAAATGTATATAACGTAGCGCTGTATTACGTATAACGGTTTTTGGCTACCGTATAAGTTGGAAAAAAGAGACAAAGAAAAGAAAGAAAACAAGTGAGAATATTATAGTCGGGCTGGGCCAACAATTAAATACTCTACACCAATTTTTATTTTTATTAAAGATTTTGTAGAATTCATTATATCCTACACCACTTGTGGTACAGGCTATATTAAGTTAGTGCGGACGTATGTAACACGCAGAAGGGCTTAAGATAGACTTAGTTTTTATTATACCGATCGATTCAGAATCGTAATCTGAAATGATCTATGCCTGTCTGTCGGCCTGTCAGCCTGACGTCTATCCATGCACATTTGCGCTCATGCTACAGGTCGCAATTTTCGAGATATTTTGATGAAATTTGGTCCAGTGATTTGTCTTGACAGAAGGACGAACGATATTGAAAATCTTTGAGATCAGTCAGCTTTTTCGACCACTCCTTATACAACGCTTTATTCTGAAAGGTTGTTATATGGAAAAAATTGTTATTTTCAAAATTTCTCGGCAAATGTGGTGAAGTAGTAATATTTTAGCATTCTAAATTGGTATGAAAACTTTGGATCGTCTGGACCAATTTTTGAGCCCTCTCTTATATAGCGAAAACTGAAGCGACAAAAAGGTATAATTCTCAATGCTTCATGATGAAAATTTCATCATAATAGAAATTAACATAAAACAAGTAAGAACATTATAGTTGAGCAAGGCCGACCATTATATACCTTACACCTCATTCCCTAACACAATTCCCATTTTTATCATACAACGCATAAAATATATCTTGTTTCTAAATCAAGGCGTATTCTTCATGTGTGGTATTTATGGGGAAGCGAGCTCAAAACGCAACCTAATGTAATACAAGTTTAATATTTACAAAAATAGCCGTAGAAGGTCCAAATATGAAATTATTATAATTATATATATATATACATTAATTATTATAATATTGTGGGTCAACTTCCATCACCATAATTAAAACTTCGACTTTTCTGTTCTACAAAGCATCAATTCTCGTGAAAGTCCTTATTAGGGTAGGATTCCAAAAATTAGCCGGGATGACCCAAATTTGACACAGTTAAATTTTTTATTTTAAATTACTATTACGATATAATTTTCATCGTGAAGCATTGAAAATCATACCTTTTTGTCGCATGAGCTTCAATTTTCGCTATATGAGAGGGGGTTTAAAAATTGATCCAGCCGATACAGAGTTTTAATACCAATTTGGAATGCCGACATACTTCTACCTAACCAGTTTTGTCGAGAAATTTTGAAAATTACAATTTTTTTTCGTATAACGACTTTTCAGAATAACGCGTCATACGGGGAGTGGTCGAAAAAGTGGTCCGATCTCAACCATTTTTAATAGCGTCAGTGCTTGAGTCAAAAAAACGTCACTGTACCAACTTTCATCAAAATAACTCAAAACTTGTAGGTTGAACACAAATTACGTGGACAGTCATTTGACGGATCAACGGTTAGACAAGCTTAGATCAATTCAGATTATAAGTCTGAAACGATCGGTATAACAAAAATTGAGTCTATATTGGTCTATCTTTGTTTGTTCAATATAATTACACTAACGTCATGTATTCGGCACCACAAGTGATGCAAAGTATAATGACTATAGCAGCAAATTTAACTGATACGACTGAGTTAAAAGAAATGGAAATCGAACAAAATTGAAAGAACCGTCGGTATTGTAAACTCGAAAAAGGTGATCTCAACGAAAGCGTGTTTATTGTTTTAAGTTTCAATTTTTAAAAAATTTTTATTTTATCCCTAATCTACAACACCACCACTATGCAGATGTCTCTATAAAGATGTGAATGCCTACCCTTCAATATTATTAATTCCATGGCGTTGTACTACATATGAGTTAATTTGAAGCGTACAAAAAAGGTAAACCTTCTTAATTTGGAAGGCCCCATTACTCTTGAAAAGACACAATGAAATTTCCTTCGCAGTAAGGCCTGAGATAAGGAGAAGCGCGTACCATTAATATTTAGAAGCTCCTCATATAGCTTTTCCTCAAATAAATAATATAAGATTTTAACTTTTAACGCCTACATTAATTCTTCTTTTAATAAGTAGAATAGTAGAGAATGGAGCTGGGACGGGGTGAACATCGCCGAACTATTACTACACATGAGGGAGTTTTAATAGATTTATCTATTTTTTCTATACATCTATTTGGAATTCCTTCTATTCTAGATATGTAATTTCGTAGTTCCCTGACTCATCTAGAATATAATTCTTTACTGTTTTAGTCAATGTCCGCGAAACAAGAACGATCGCTACAGCCCACTACTTAGACGTATGGCATCCGCAGTACCCTAACGGGGATCCAAGCAGCGTACTTATTGAGAAAGGCAGAAAGTATTTATCGTTTGGAGCGGAACGTTACAGCCCATGGTAACCTACTCCTTACGATTAATTGAATGCCTTTTCATTCACGTTTCTTTTAGTTTAGTGTACTTTTGCACTTGCAAAGCTATGTTCCGCGTATCATTTTTTCTTATCACTTAAAATTTTAAATATATTATAGCCAAAAATTATGAAAAAAAAAGAAGCAATATCACCCGCCCCCTTAAATGCTTATTGTTACCAATTGTTTCCATTCTAGTTCCACCTAATTTAAAAATTAACTTTAGCTTTACTGTGTACTTTTTAACTGTTAACATTAAAATTAATTCTATAATTAAGTGTAACTGGATAAATGCATCATTTTCGTGGAAGCCCTCATATTGGAGGATACTCAACATTAACTTATCAAAGACAAGCCTATTTTCCACTTGTTTTTGTCAAAACCGCAAATTAGACCATGAGGCCTTATATGTGGCACGATCTAAAAAACAGACCTATGTGATCCAAATTCCCTATGGTTAATTTGCAAATTTTTATCATAAAATATTGAAAATTGGACCACTTTGGCATAAAAAAAGTTATTTTTCATTAGAATCCATACATGGATTGGAGTCAAACAAATAGACTTTTATGGTCCAAATTCAGTAAGATTAATTTTTATGTCAAATTATTATTAAAAACGAATTTTCATCAAGAAGTATTGCAAGTTATCTACCTTTGTTATACAAAGATTCAGTTTTCGTAGGAACGGCTACGTGGCTAAATGTTCAAAAAATTGACGCAGGAGATCCAAAGTTTTTACACAAATTTAGATTGCTGAAATACTATTACTCTGCGATGTTTGTCAAGAATTTCTGAAAATTATACCATTTTTTTAACATAATGACTTCTCAAATGAAGGTGTTTTATGAGGATTGGGCGAAAAGTTTGTCTAATCCGAGCCATTTTCAATAGCATTCGTTTTTGGGATTAAAAACATATCCGTGTACAAGATTTCATCAAAATAACGCGAAAGTTTCGACATTTACGTTGAACACAACACTACGTGAATAGACTTCCGACAGACAGATAAGCTTGTGTATCGGTGTAATAAAAGGTAAATGTATCTCAAGTGCTTCTGGATTTTACATACTTCCGCTTAAACAGACAGTTCACGGGTTATGCTATTATAACCTGCACCGTTCGTGGAACACGGACGCATGTAACACAGAGAAGAGCTTGAGATAGATCCCCATTTATTATATCGATCAGTTTAAAATCATTTTGTAAATCGATCTAACCCTCTCGGTTCGCCTGATGTTTGTTCATGTAAATTTGTATTCAAGCAATCAGTCGCAATTTTTTGTATTACTTTTGGTGAAATTCGGTGCACTGCCATGCTTTGATCGGAACATGAACGCTATTGAAAATGCGTCCACCTTCCGGCCGCTCCCCATATGATGCTTTATTTTGAAAAGCCGTTATACGGAAAAAATTGCAATGTTCAAAATTTCTCGACAAAAGTCGCCTCGTATTGGTTTGGTTGTGGCAATTTTTTGAACCCTTTCTCATGTAACCGTTCCTATGAACGCTGAACGTTTACGTAGTAAAACAGTGCAATTTCTTATATTTCGTGGCAAAAATAATGTATAATAATAAACCGACTTAGAAACCAACCTTGCCGAATTTGGATTACGTAGGTCTATTTTTTGGATACCACTGCATATAAGGATTCCTCCAATACGCGGGCTTTCAGGGAAAGTGCGCCTTTGCATGAAAACAACGTCTATCTTTTAAGGTATTGTCACCAAAACAGCCTTGCCCGACTATAACATCGTTACTTGGTTAATTTTAGTGCTAACGGTAAAATCTACGAATTTAATTGTTCGAGCAGTTGGCGGAGGGGTGCGTAGAATATACTATAAATGAATGAAGTGTTTGGAACCTATTGGATTAATGGGTCTAGGAATGGATCTTCAAATATGCCAAAGATTTACAAACAAATTACTTGAAGCAAAAGGTTTTAAAAGAAAGTAAAACTGAAGCGAGAGAAATGAAGAAAGAGAAGATTATAAGTTTTTTAAATAATTACATTATATTATATATTAGTTAAACTTGAAAGACTGGAAGAACCTGGCGTTGACGTTTTCAAACAACGACGAACACTAATCTTATAATGAATATAGTTTGCAAATGTTATTGAAATATTCGTTTGCAAAGTTGTTATGGATGTAGGCGGAAGGCTATCGTTATCGTTGCATTTTATTATATGTTTATTGGAAAAGTTGTTTGCTCATGTGTGAAGCCCTCGAAATCACCAATTTGCTACTAATTATTTTAATTAGCTTAAAATCTTATACTTCAAACCTTTTTTTCTTTTCGAAATACAGAGTTATTCGGTGCCGCCAACGTAATAACGAAAATGATGAAAGAGGAAAACCGACTTGTATTTTTTAGTAGTAAAATTTTTGTACTGCTTATCGTAGCGCAGACGTTACCACGTATATATGCTTTTCCAAACGGTGCACCGGAAAAGGTATGTGACACAATGTTGCCATTTCACGGTGGCGGCATACTGCCAGCGAATTCGGTACCACCTTTTCGAATAGAAACATCAAGTAGCGTTGTTGGTCAAGGTCAGGTTTTGCGTGTTTATATAGCTGGCGTGCCGAATGGTTTACAGTTCGGTGGTTTCATGATACAAGCACGGCAGATCCGACCGCCTTATGAAATTGTAAGTTGAAGGACAATATCCTAATACATTTTAATAGTTTCTTTAACTTAGATGGGACAATTCAATCCCTCTGAAAGTGGTCACTCCAAGCTAATGAATTGCGGAAATTCGGTGGGCAATTCTGCGACACACTCGCATGCTGGTCCTAAAGCAGAGATCTCTTTGGAATGGCAATCCCCGATAGATTTTGAAGGTGACGTCATTTTCAAGTAAGCGAATTGTTTACAATAATTTTAGCCAAAATCTTTAACAAAAATTTATTCAGTTCTACAGTCGCTCAATCGTATGATACGTTTTGGGTGGGCATTCCGTCTAATACGGTGCGTGTCGTAAAGCGAGATTTAGCACCGCAAAATTATAGCACGCCTAGACCAAGATTCTCTCCCTCATCACGCCCGCCGTATGTGCCAGCTTATGAACAGCCAGTTACTACGCCGATGCCTGAAGATCCCTTTTATGATGAATGTGAGTCAGCGAAAATTTGTTTCGGTATTCCCGATGGTTGTCTAGAGAAGAGAAATTGTGTTAATGCAGGCGCAATTAAGGTACGCGGCAATATCCACGAATTTGAAATTCTGTGCACAGCAAGTAAGTAAATTTAACTACGGTTTGTCCCTCTCTCTCTCTCTCTCTCTCTCTCTCTCTCTCTCTCTCTCACACATCCTCAGCAAACGTTATCAAAATTGTTATTTTCTATTAACAGAGGATGCGGCTTATGTAGCTTTAGGTCTATCGGATGACGATAAAATGGGTGACGATTTGGTTACCGAATGTGTACCTCAGAATGGCCGGGTTGCTATGTACAGTTCGTATACCTCAGCCCCACCGAATGGTAATTACGGTGCAAAACGTAACGGAGTTGTAAGTTTAACAATGTTTTTGATATCGCCGGATTACTAATGCTGTATATTGTCTTAATCTTCTAGCCTCTTACTGCCCGTCTTGTGGAATCTTCTTTTATTAATGGCGCTATTTATTGCAAAGTTGAACGTGATCAAACCACAAAAGTGGGAAATCGTGTCTTTGATTTAGTTAATAAAAAATACTTTTTACTTTTGGCTTCTGGCAGGAGTCTAAAAGGTAATTATTGAATAATTATCTGAGCTATACGTATAATATATAACTTCTTTATTGTCATTCGTTTTTAGATGCTGGGGTAGGTTATCATGATATCATCAAATCTTCCTCCTCTAAAGCTATTAGTTTAGCTGAAATACAAAGTCTTAGTGCTGCCTCACCTATTTTATTAAGATTACACGGAGCTTTTATGATTACTGCTTGGATAGGTACCACTTCCCTGGGCATAATTTTGGCTCGTTATTTCAAGCAAACCTGGACGGGCAGTCAGTTATGCGGCAAAGATCAATGGTTTGCTGTAAGTATCCCGTAATTAGTTCGATCTCTCGGAAGCATGTCATCTTACATAATTTTCAGTGGCATCGTATTTGTATGGTCAGCACCTGGTCTTTAACTATGGTCGCCTTTGTGCTCATTTTTGTTGAAATTAACGGTTGGTCTGCCAATCAGGATCGTCATGCTATACTAGGTGTCGTGACTACCATAATATGCTTTATACAACCGTTTGGTGCTTTATTTCGACCGGCTCCAAATTCGAAAAATCGACCCATTTTCAATTGGCTCCATTGGTTGGGCGGTAACTTAGCTCATTTGTTAGCTAGTAAGTTGTAATCGATAAATATTTTATTGATAAGAACGTGATTTTTTTTTTTTTTTAGTTGTTACCATATTTTACGCGGTGAAATTACCTAAGGCTGAATTGCCGGAATGGATGGATTGGATATTAGTCGCTTACGTAGCCATCCATGTTATAGTTCATTTGATATACTCAGTAAGTAATGAATAAATGTTCCACTCCAAGCAAAAAGGGAGCAATTGGAACGTAAGCTTCATTTGCACAAAATGTAAATTTCGTATTGCAAGGGCCGTTTCAAACGAGCTTAACACTAAGGTTTTTCTTTCAAGAAAAAACTTCCATTCCGAAATTAAACGAAGAAAGTCTTCAAAAGTATATTAATTGCCAAACGTCTTACTCCTGACGTAAAATTGGATTTTTTTTCTCGTAAAAAAATGCTGCGATATATTCAGGCGAAGCTAGCATGAGTCTAAGCTAATGTGCTTAAGTTTATGCTACCGAAATTTACAAAATTTTCATAAACAACACGTCTACCGATTAGAATCATAGAATCATAGTAGATTCTACAATCCCCTGGGAAAAAATATCCCATTATGTCGACTTACAGACAGTCCTCCTCGAATTCGCTCCTTGAAATACGCAAATTAGTAGCTAGGAAAAAACGGTGATATTCATCAGTGCATTCTTTAAAACCTCTTGAAAAGCAATTATTCCTCCGCTAGGGCTGGCTGCTTATAGTCAACTATTTATTGAACGTTTTGAGAATTGAAGAGACTCAAGAGGTTTCGTAGTATCTTACCACGACTATGTTTATACTCTTTATGCTCTTGAGATGCTTTGTACGACTGATGTAAAAATTAAAATTATGCATGAATTTAGATAAAATCTCCCTCCTTATCACGACTTAGATCTAACTCATATTTTATATCCCCTATCTATGTACATAAGATGTCCCTATTTCGCCTGGAAAAATGTAAATATTATTGTTTGTATAAAAAAAAAAACAAAGTTAATAATATTTCATTTTCAATCATTAGCTACTAATTATCCCTGTTTATCTGTCTCGGCTAAGGACTCTTACTATGCCATAACTAAATGCAGATATTTTTATGTATACAGATTGCAGGTTGCGTTTCTGATCGGCAGCAAACGCAAAAGATCAATGCTTTTCAAATGGGCGATATGTCTCATCATGGCCTACGTAACAGTATGAAGATGGAACGTAAAATGGATGCACCGGTAAGTATGCACGGTGTCCTCTTGAAATTCTTCACTTATCCATTGGAAACAGTGCCAAATAAGATGAACATCATATGCGTGACAGTTTATTTACGTTTCTATTCAACAGGAACTCATATCAAGAGTACTTTCCATCCATAACATTTTTTCAGCTCAATATTTACCATCCGTTCCCTTAAGGAATTCCAAATTTTAAATGTACTTCCTTTTTTACATCCTGCAACAATTGCGCTACAGTGCTACATTAAGGTTATGTCGACATATGTAGCACCCACGATAGACCCAAGGATAAACGCTATTAAAAAGGTTTTGGGTCAACTTTTGATCACGTTTTTTACCCATTTCCCCCATAAGGGTTTACTTTGAAAAACCGCTATACGAATAAAAATACCAATTAACAACATTTATCGACAATACTCGCGGGTATTATAGTATAGTATAGTATTTCACCAATCTGAATTGTTATTTTGATAACTTGAGCTCCCTTTTTTTAAGATTTCCGAACCGATCTAAGTTTGGCCATCCATGTACTTTGTATTCAACCTGCAGATTACAATTTTTAAGTTTTTTCAATGAAATTTGGTAGATTGACGTGTTTTGACCTAATAACAAACGCTTTTAAAAATGATTGAGATCGGTCAATTTTTTCGACCACTCCCCATGTGACGACTTATTTTCAAAAATTGAAATTAACAACATTTTTCCACTAAATTCTGAGTAATAATATTTTGGTTCGGTTTATTCTACTGGAGTGATTTTTACAGTTTATATCATAGTTTCTAGGAAAACTGAATCTTTATATTTTAAAAAATTGCAAGTTTCAATATTTCATGGTGAAAATGAGTTTATTATAGTAAATTGATAAAGTAATCAACTTTACCGAACTTGGACAGTGTAGGTCTATTTTTTAGATAACATCGCATATAATGGTTCTTAGGAAATGCACCAAAGGAAATGAACCAAACTTAACCGACATGAGTTTATTTCTTGGACTCTATCCCATATAACATTTCTCATGCTTAGTAAGCTCCTCAGAAGAAAGTTTCATTTTTTCAAGTTTTATGATGAGAAAGTCTTATTTCTAGTCTTTTACGACGGAAACTAAAAAATAATAAAATTATTAGAAAGAAAATTTACTTTGCTAAATTTGAATTACATCATGCTATGTCTTGGGCATTGTCTAGTATGCGGTCTTCCATAAAAATGTGCCTTTACATGAAAATGATGACTGTTTTTTGGCGTATTATAGCCAAACAGAGCGAAGTGGTGTAGCGTATCCAAAGGTCGGCCTTGCTCAACTAAAATGTCTACTCGTTTTTTTTTTTATATATCTTTTCAGTTCAGTGCTTTCCGCAAAGGGCTTTTGGGTCTGTATATAGTAATATTAATTCTTTTTGTTGCGGTTTTGGTGCTTATTGTCGTGCTGGCTCCAATCGAAGCAACTTTTAAGGATCTGCAAGCGAAGTTAAATTAAAATCTAAAACAAAAAAAAAAAAGTGGAAAATATCCCAAACCAAATAACATTTTGGCTCAAAGTTTTTTTTTCTAGCGTTATAATATTTTTTAAAATGTCTTTTTTTTACTTACATTTAATTTAATATATATATTTTTTATTAAGTTTTGTATTTGTATATAGAAGATTAAGACAGTGTGTGTGTGTGTGTATATAAGTTTATACAATTTTTTTTGTTAATCTTTTTCTTTTTTGTTTTTTGCTCTACATAGATGTACAAAATCAAATGGTGTATAAAGTCTACTGTTATTGCATGTGTACAGTAACAGAAAAAAAACTTTTTTAACAAATAATATTATTTATAAATTTTAATAAACTAAAAAAAAAAAGCGAACGAAAAGAAAAACAAGATTAAAATATAGAAATGGTGCCTTTTAATTCTTTAAATTTGTGACAGTTTTTTTTTATTCATCTATTTCTTTTAAAAAATACGTTATTTCTTTTTGGAATTTTCTTAAAACTGGCTAATCACATCTATTAAACGCTACTGCGGACAGAGATGATGCTTCCGATCATCACCATCGCTGGTTTAATAGATAAGATAGAACTCTAGTCTCTTCGTGTTTACTTTACTGAATTCTACTTCGGCTAATTTCTTTCATACTTATTTATAATTTTCTTTGCGATTCAATTACAAAAAAATTTTTTTTTGTTTGGTTTGTAGTTGGGCAGGCTAAGTATATTATTAAGAAATGTTTCTGCTTTCTGTTTTTCTATTTAATTTTTTTTGGTTTCTAAGTTCTTGTAAATTAATTTCGAGAACACACACACGTTTCTGAGTATGACATATGAATTTGTTACCAGAGAGAGAGAGAAAGAGAGGGTGATAGAGAGAGAGAGATAGAAGGAGAGAGAGGGGGAAAGGGAAAAGGAGAAAAAAAAAAGAATAAGAGAGGATAAGATAGATAGGATGGGACAAGAAGGAAAGTATTTAAAATTTATAAATTTAAAATCATCGTTCTTCTAATATAACCGTTTCCTGTGGATATAATTTTAGATGTTGTAATGTTTGTGTAGCATTGACTGAGGTCAAATCACGACGTGGCCAACTAGATATTAATTTGTAATCTTCGATAAGAAAACCATGCGAGGCAACAAAATTTAATAAATCCTAGAAAAATAAGAAAAAAATTGTTTAAAATAATAAAATTAAATACCCATCACCTCGAACCAATTGCGATCTATTTCGATTTGCATTATATTCCCTAAATATGTCTTTTATAAAACTTATCCGTAAATCTTTGCATACGTACTATATTCATTCTCTAAATTGATTTTAGAATTCGGCTGTGAATATATTAACTAATTTTTTAATTTTTTTTCTGAAATCCCGACGCTGTGACAATTTCAATAACAGACGGGAGAGGTCTGCAGTTACCTGACATGAAAAGATAATAACACAAGCTCAAGCAAATTAACTGTTTAGCGTTTCATAAAGAGAAAAAGAAGTTCCATAGAAATTAAAAGAATTTTAAGAGGGAACACCTTCTTAGCGAGCACAACAGGCAGTTTGCAAGTCTAAATTCATATATTCGACTTTTTCATTGAACTTTTACGCCTACATATCGTCATTGCTAGCTTTAATATTAGGCTCGATATTTGTTAGTTTAAAATGTATATAGAGTATATGATGTCTGCTTTCATATTTCGCAAAGTTCTTTTGATGATAGGTATGAAAATTTAAAAATTGATTGTATTATTCTTTTACCTCTAATGTGTTATTGGTGTAAAATCTACGTTCTAAAAACTCGCCAGTTGGCTTGCGTACACGTATTTTGGAAATATTTTTCTCAGTTTCAGCCGGTTCATGAGGCAAAGATTGTTTAGCCTAAAATTGAATGGTCAAAAATATATTGTAAGCGCTTTGTTGTATTTAAAAACCTACCACCAAACGTATTGACTCTCGTCTTGCTTCCTCTTCGGCTCTTTCTGAAGCCAAACGTTTTCGTTCAGCTGCTATGGCTGCCTCCTTTTGCTGTTTGGCCTCCTCTTTGGCTATATCGGCCTGCAGCGTCTGCTGATAGGCCATATCCTGTTCGGCTTTAACTTGATCACGTAATGCCCGAGCATCTTCTTCAGCTATTTCAACTTGCAAGTGTTCATTATACATTTCCACCGACTCTAGAAGCCGTGACATCAAATCATCTAAGCCAACATTGCCTAAATGGTTCAATCTTGTCAATATGAAGTTTTATAATGAATTTAATTTGATGATCTTTACCATGAATCACAGATAATACTTCGCACGATGTACGTCCAGACAAACGGCTTTTGCCAATTATTAGTATTGACGGTAATTTGTCTATTGATATATTACGCACAGTCAATGAGGCTGTATTACTTATGCAACCGGTAACGGAGGACAGAAGTCTGTAAGAAACAAAATCAAGTGTCATACAATTTTAATAGTCCGAGGATTTTGTAATCAAATATTTATCTTCTTTGTTTTTCGTTTTCAACTTACGCACGAAACTTTGTCAGGGTTTTAAAGTAATCAACTATTATCTAAGTTATTCTGCATCTCTTTGTTTCCCTTCCCATTTATTTGAGATGGAATAGTTTAAGTCCGAATTTTCTCAATATTTTATCATATCATGTCTGAACAAAAGACTCTATAAAATGTTCTCGATTAGCACGTAAACATTCACGTGTCCATCTTTCGTTATAAAATTCGCAACTTACGCATATATATATATATATATGTATATAAGGTTAACGTTCTGAATGAACCTTTTGCAATAAAATATCAATGTTTTTAACTAACCAAAATATATAGGACGGCAGGCATACAAAGTTTTAATTATGAAAGGGAGAAATGGGCTTTTCATTTCTTTAAAGATCCTAAGCATATTTGTGTAAAGGGTGCTTTTGATCGAATTGATTTCTTGTATTCCGCGTGCCAAAAAATTATAAATTGAAAGATAGAAGACGAAGTCCTCTATCTTTACAGTTAAACTGGATAGCATGAATACAAACTTACAAATGTTTATTGCTTTCGTGGGTTAAATCCCAACCGTACACAATGAAATTTTCTGCAAACGTTTGTAAAATGCTTTCATGTTTCATAAGACGATCACAAAACACATTTGTTAGAATACTTTCTCCGTGATGTAAATAAATTGCCAGCAGTTTACGCTAAAGAGGGTATAGAAAAAAAAATGTAATAAACAAAAAAACTCCAAATAAGCAAAAAACTAGATTGAAATTACTTCACGTGCAGGCTTATGGCAGGCTTCTTTTAAAGCATCTTCTAGGCTGCCAGAGAAAAATATGGGATGAGGTTCACCAAAACGTTGTTTGTAATTATCAAGAAATTCCAAAGAGCCAGTCGTCTCATTATCTGTGTTGTTAGAGACTAAGGAAATGCATTCGTAAGATTTTGTGTTCATCACGATAACATTCCTTTTAAAAAAACTTACTCAAATGCCTGCTGGCAGATTGTACTGGTGGTGGATCAGTAAAGAACTCTTCGCAGTTATTAAAGTCCGAAGCATCTTCAAATTCATCGGTCGAGCTGTCAGTGTCGAGACCCATAACACTGTAATTTGAACATAACCATAAGTTTTACTGGGTAATTATTTACATAGAACAGCTTACTTTGCCGTGCGTGGTGGTAGAGTAGATGTTACTGTAGCACTGTTAGTATTAAAACGTATTTTACTTGAACCATTTTGCAATATAAAATTATGCGTCAATTGTATGCCAGATTGCTGCAAATTTGCCAGAAATGATGTTATTGTATATATCTGCTAAAATTTGTGCTAGCACTATTTACCGCTAATGTAGAATCATTGTCGCAGCTTTGTGGCCACCCCGTCCACTCTTGGTGTCTAACCGGTATATCCGTGACATAGTAAACATTAGTTTTAACCTCTTGCACCGTTGTACGTCCTGGAAACGTCAATTCATGGCGATTACCTTCTGGCTGTTGTACAATAGTAAGTTTAAACATTTTATCCAAACGTCCCGTGATCTCATCGCTAATAAAGTTATAAAAAATGTTACTACGTAAATTCATTGCTTAGGAAATTTGTAAACATATTTACTTTTCAAAATCCATATAACCTTCCTCAGTCAAATCGATCAATATTAATTCATTTTCAGGAGATAAATTTAAATTAGATAATTTGGTTGTAGGTATTTGAGCCTCACGTAGTTTTGCTGGCGGCCAGCCGCGTATTGCTTGACGACATATCGGTATACCAGTGGCATCATTTACTTTTTTCTTCAATTGTTCTAAACACGAATAAATAAATAACGGAATTTCGTTACAATATAAAAATAAGACCTTAAATAAATAGAAAATAACTCTTACCAATAGTAGCAGTTGAAGGCAGTCGTATATCAAAAATCTTTTGATCAAAGTGTATATTAAATAGTATTTGCTTGGTTGTCGTAGACGATGTCGATGACATGCTGGCGTCCAAGTCCATATCAGAGGCAAGATCAATTAAATCATCGTCGGCTGAATTTGATGAGACTATAATAATGTTAACAATTATTATCTTTTTTAATAGAATAGTTTGAAAACAATTTAGTTTTTACGAGTAAAAAACAACCCTGTTGTTATACCTGGTACGAATGCGCTGTCAGCAGCGGTGTTGTTTTTACTATGATTTCTCGTGTTTTTGAACCAACGTGGGCATGTGGATGATGTACTCGATTCCGATGAGAAATTATTTAAGGCTGTAGTAGACGTGCTAGCGTGGTAAGAAAACGGTACCATGGGCTCAGCTTCTGTTAGTAAAGGTGGTTGTATTTCGTCATCCTGCGGTATAACACGTTGTATGGCAGCCTTAAAAGCATAATATCAACAGATATTGTGATGAATTTTTATTGCCTGCGCGCATATATTTGAAGTAACTCACCATGAGATCCCAATTAGTTTCTTCCAAATGAGAAAATGCTTCGCCAACATCATCGATGCCTGTTATGCTCTAAAAAGTTATAATAGAATTAGTCAGCGGTTGTTATAAAAACAAAAAAACAACAAAAAAATCACAATTTTTTCTTTTAATTACTTGAAAATTGGCCAAGATTTCTTCTTTGTTTTCAGACGACATTTGCTTGATCTATGATGGCTTGTGTGTAATGAATGAATGCTTGATGGGGTTGATTCCTTTTCGCTCCTTTTCAACTTATTTATTTATTTTTTTTTGTTTCTTTATTATTTTCGAGTTTCTTCTTTTAATGCTTTCGTAAATTATTTGAGAAAATATTTACTTTTCAGATATAGTTGTTATTAAGACTTTTTATTTTTAATAAAATTTTTTATAAAAAAAACCACAGACTCAGAATACATTCGTGAAGTATTCTTCAAGTAGAGAGAAAACTTCTTTTTTCAATTAACCTAAACATAAGGTATTTTATTGTTAGCGTTTTCTTTTTTTATATGTTTTTATTTTGGTTATTTTTTAGTGAATTTTTGAAAATTTTTAATTGAACTGCGTTTGAAACTTTTATAATCACCACGAAATGTCGATAATTTTATTGAACATTTGGAAATAGCAAAAAAAAAATGACTTGTGAGACGAAAACAATTCCAATTTCTTTCTTTGTTAAGTCACGAAGTCTCCGGGTTACCAGATTATTGCACCACGAAATACAGCTGTAATAATTGCGGAAATGCATTATCGTAAGTTTATAGTGAAATATCATAGCTAGTTATGGAGAAATGGCATAAACAAAGAAAATCATTAAAAGAAATTTACGTAATAATGCTAGTTAACAATGAAAACAAAGAGAATTTTTTCCTTTTTCTCTTAAGTTACGAACTTTGATAGCATGATGGAAAGGAGAATAATTTTGAAAGCAGAATTTTTAAAAATAAAATTAACCTCCCTGCAAGTAATAAATCGTTTAAATGTATTGATCGTTAAGGATTTTCCTGATTGTCTTTAATTAAATAACTGATCTTTTTATTAATCAAATATTATAAG